CCCCCCCCCCACCCCAAATATATCTTCAGGTTTCAAAGAATGCAAGTCAGCTAAAATAAATCATATTTTATCAATCTGTAAAGTTAATATGTTAAAGCTTAGCTCATTGGTAAAACCGATGCTCTGAACAAGTCATTTGTACGATTCTGGTATTTGGTATGTGTTAAAACATGTTTATAGAACCACTAAAGACCTTGCCACTCTCCAGCAACTTGCCTTTGTTACCTACTTCGAAGTATGGGATTAACATTCACCCGGAATCGATTACAGTTTCAAAACTCTCATGGTCGCCACTGTTTTTGCTTTTAAATCAGTTCAAAAATTGTACCCTTGCCAGTCCGCTAAAATTTCATCATTTTCCACAGAAAGAACCTCGAACAAATCGATATCACTAATTATGAAGATGGTCAAGAAATTAAGGAGTTTAAGACAGTTGAACATGCAATATGGTAATCTAATAACGTAACACGATGATTCCTTTTAAGGAAATTGTTTTACGGTTTTATACCATTATAATTATCTGGTGCTGCTGAAGTTTAAACTTGTCTCGATTTAACTCTAGATTGAAGGATCCTACAGTATTAATCGCGCATTAGGCAGGAAGCATATCTAACGCCAAGTTGTCACAAGTCTGAGGTGAATTGAGCCATGCCGATGTTCACAAACCTTCTTCGATGTGCCAAAAACGAGCAAACACATCTCTCAGAGCCTTCTCGTCGACCTTAGGAGGCAGGCCGCCCACAAAAAGCTTGCGTCCTGAAGGCGAGCCAGTCATATCCGCATACAACAAGGAACCTTGACTCGTACACCACGCTAGTCCTAAGATGTCTCCTTCGATCAATACACACTGAGCATGTGCAGCAGCTTTCAGAAGTCGAGCATGCGCATCGATCTCAATAAAACAAGTGTTCTAATTGGTCAATAATATACAGTTATAACTATGGTCCCGAGTCATCTGTTCGCTATTTATTCATTTACAATATAAGATGTTATTTGGTCAATTACAAATACACGACGAGGGAAGGAAACTTCGGTGTGAGAGAGAAAGATCAAGTAGGAAACCGTGGGGCGCCTGACGACTAGTCAGACTTGCGAGCAGGCCCTCATTATTAGTAGCACTTTTAGTAGCGCTTGCGTACGAGCGTTTCTTCGCCGCGAGCCGGCGAGATGTCTGCGAGTGGTCTGGCACTGATTATTAGTGCCAGACTCCCAGCAGGCCTCTCCCCTGTACCGTTGCACTTATGTCCTCTCTTGATTAATTGTCAGATTTTACCTTACTTGTCTCTAATAAACGAAAAAAATGGAAA